CAGGGGGGATGGTCACGCCGCAATCCCTTCTCCTCCATTCTCCTCCCGGGATCTTGGGCACACACGCACACACGCACACACGCCCAGCGTGAGTTCTAAGCCACTGGGTCCGGGACGTGAACCCCGGTTGACTACGTGGAAGTCCAGCGACATAGCCATTACGCTAACTGCTAGTTCCCTGATTAGAACATTTTTAGAGTAGGAGGGGTGGTAAAGAATAGGATTTTTTACCACCAAAGTGGCCAGTCTTTATTTTGCCAAGTTCTTCTTGGGAACAGAACCACTGTCCTTCATCTCTTATCTTGCAAACTCAATCAGTAAGGGAGTGAGGGAGAAGCACTCAAGCATAGAACATGTGGCTTTGAGTAAAGCAGTTTAACTCTTCTGGAGAGTAAAGAGCTGCATTAGATGACTTCCGGGGTTCTTCTGCCTCTAACAGTTGTGATTCTGAGTCCAGGACTTTTCTAACTGCCTGGGAAGCAGGCAGAGCCAGATTGCTTCTGCTTCACATCTGTTCTCAGTCCTTGAGGGGTTGGGTGTAGCTCTTCAAGGAGTAACTACAGACAGCTGTGCTTGATCCAGTGCCTCCCTCCTCACAACCCACCTGAGTCATACTCACTGGATGTGTTTAGTGTATCATAAAATGAACCCCTGCTCCTTTTTTTTCCCCCCCTTTTTCCTCTATGAGCAAAAGAGAGAGTCTTTCAGGCTACAATCTACCCCCAGCTTCAGCCAGTCCCAGATCATGGGCATGGGTACACCCAGCGTATTCAGGAAGCTCTCTGGTCACAAACCTTCCCATTCCCATGTGGGTCAGCCTCACAGGGCACAGTGTGACCGCTGTTTCACCATCTGACTCCCTGCTCTTTGCAACTTTCTTTAGACCCCCACATTAACTGTGAAGAGCGTTCCAAGGCCCAACACAGGAGAGCAGTTGAGCCAAGTATCTTTTTCCCAATAGGGAACAGTTTCTCTAGTTGAATTATGAAAGTAGACTGCCTCTTTCTTCTCCTTTTAATCTGGATTCCCATTTTAAGATAATCAGGCAATACCTGTACTTTTAATCAAAGAGGTAAAGTAAGGAAATGATCTGAAGCATGTAAGAAGAAAAAAGACTCTTTTGTCTCAATGTTCTGTATGTTCTGACATATAGTATATCGTATGGTTAGTGAGTTAATGAAGAGAACATAATCTAATACATACATTTGAGCATACTAATCCTTTGATCCAGTCCTCTTTTCGTGTTAGGGGAGCTGAGGTTCTGCCTGGGCAGGGGCCTGACAGGTTGTGAACAGGTGGAGTCAGCACTGAGTCTCTGTGGAATCCTGTCGGCTGTACCTGTTGACTTGTGCTGTACTCCCTCTGTGTAGACACAGCTCCAAGATGACACGGTATGCACACCTTACCATATTGGAATTCTGAAGACCAGCCTAGTCTCCTTGCCACCTTTTCTATGTGAAAGTACCTCAGTATTGATGCCACTCTGAAGGTGAGCAACTGTGAGCGAAGGACATTAGTGGGTCAGCGCAGACCTAGTCGAACTTGTACTGCTCAGCAGTGGCAGCTCTCGTGTTGCGTTTTGTGACTTTGTTTTGTTCCTTTAAGAGTTTGCTTTTCAGAGAGACTGGCTAGAAGGACAGGCCTCGTTTCCTAGGTTCAGGGCGAGCCAGTACTCCTGTGCTGAGTTCCCGTGAACTGCAGCCAATGCCTTCAGCTGACAAAGCAGAGTTGTCGTTGATAAGTGTTTATGTTGCATTTTAGATTTGCAGGGTTCTTTCTCTGAGTTATTTCTTACCTCAGTTTGTCAGGTGAAGAAACTAAAGTCCATGGAGGTGGTGACGAACCAACCAGCCCAGAGCCTTCTGAGCAATGAGTGGCAAAGCTGATGCTAGACTCAGAGCGTGAGTTTCTGGGTCATTACTTACCCAATGAGTCATGTGGCTTCTCGGGATTATGTTCTTTGCCCCTCACCAACTTCTTCTGTCCCCGCATTCAGCTGACTTCTCTTAGCACGAGCTTTAGAACTCCCTGTTTCAAAGAGGCAGTTTTTTGTTGGTTGACCAGAAATCTGTAGGTTTCTAGGGCCACTCCACAGGTCAGGCTACTCCAAGGTAGGGCCTGTCCTAGGTCACCAGAGTTGTGCTGTGGTGGGAGCAGGCTGGGAGGAAGGTCTGCTCTGCTTGGGCTTTGAAGAAAAGATCAATGTGGTTTTCAGGAATAGTGAAGGCATGAGAAAGGAAGGAAAACTTTAAGCAAAAACGCTGGTTATCACTTGTAGGAGGTTAAAAAATAAAACTAAGGAAATATTAAAAATGTTTGTATCGCAAAGTTGTGATGTTTTTGGCTTTCTTTTCAAAGTCCACTATTTGAGACACAGATATTTCCTAACCAGTGAAGGAAAGAGACTTTATCCAGAATATTGAAAACTTTTACTATAGAAATTCCTGCAAGAAATCTTACTGTTTATTCTGTCCATTTCCGCTTTATCTTGGGCTTTTTAAAAAATGATCTATGATGCATTGGCCTTTTGGCTTAAATTGCCAAAAGGCAATTTAAGTACAGATGTAGGTTGGAGATTAACATCGGTTTGCCTGTCTTTACACGGCATTCTCGGAAAATAAAATCTCTCCTTTGCTTCCCTACCTCCTTCCAATTGTGAATTTAATTAAGAAGATGAGTGGTTGTGTTTAGAGTATTTGTATTCTGCCTTTCCAGACATTCCAAGCAGCCTTTGGATATTGATAAGTGTTTATTGTAGCACTAACAATACAGGCGAAACAGGAAGCGGCTCTTTGCTGGGTAGGATGCTCGAGTGGCCCTCTGCTCTCCCAGGGAACGCTCTTCAGCTGACTGAAGCAGGGAAGCCGAGCCAATCAGAGCCTGCTTTCCTAGCTCAGTCACCAGTCTGTGGTTGAGGAAGGGTTTTGCTTTTTATGCTCTGTATTGGGGAGGCAGATAAAATGCCAGGTCTGGACTGCCTCTGGGGATAACCTCACCCTGTGTGATGTGAATGAATAGCATTTTGCCCGGCAAATCCTCAGGATTTGATAAGGCAGGCACAGTTCTTCCAGACAGGCCTTTTTCTTTTTGAGCTCTAGCTTTGGTTTCTGTAGCAGTTGTGTTTTTTGCCTTGAAAGAGGTGCTCTGGATTATCAGACCTCCATGTATGACAATTTGTACCTGCATGGAATTGAAGACTCGGAGGCTGTAAGTATTTTCATAGATAGCTGGTTCCCTCTCCCCTCCTCTTCCTCCTCCCACTGCCCCCCGCCCCCCCTTATTTCTTAGGCAACGCAGGAGCTGAAAGCTAACATCATTCGGGTGCTCGCTGGCTGCTATGTAAACGTTCTCTATAGTTTATAGTTACCTGAAATTATTCATCATCGTCAAGCAAACAAGAAATGAGGGGGATAGCAAAGGCATCTAAGAGTGTAGGCTGATTGGATTTGTATGTTACCTGGTCCCTGTTGGGTCTCACGAGGGGTTTGTAGACTGGTTTAAACTATGCAGAAAGTACCTATGTTTTCATACCGCGGGGTTCATAGAAAAAGGCTCGTTCATTATATAATGCACATTGTTTACTGAGCTAGCGTGGATAGAAGTTCCTAAGCTGTAGCTGTGTTATTCTGTGCTTTCTGGTCCAAGTGGCAGTGCAGATCTCCTGCTTCTTTGTTAAGGAAATCAGATGCGAGCGTTGTGGTCGTACAACACCTCAGTGCAGAGGCAGTGGGCAGGGTTGCTATACTCTGTCCTGGACGACCCAAGTAGGCTCACGTGTGCTTTGCCTTACTAAACTGGACTCCTGTCCCCTCATAGGTCAGGCTCATGCGATCTATTAAAATCAGGATGAAATGGTTTTCTGACATCCCTAAAATCATGCCATCAGAGTGCTAGCCTTCGAATACAGGATAAAACCGACTTCTGAATCTTTCTTTTTATTATTGCTGATGATAGTTTCTGTTTTTCCATCAATTACATAGAAACCTTGCAAGGTAGCGTGATTGAGGGTGGCTAATGGGACGTGCTGTGGGGAATCTGAAATCGTCTATGAGTGCAATGCCGTACATGTGGCTACATTTGAAACAGGAATGTGTTATATAAGGTCCTCTGGCTAAACATGAAATAAACAGATTATAACAACAATATTAAAAAAACCCTATGGAATACGTCAATGCAGACGTATGTATCAAATGATGTCTAATCCATGAAAGATAGAAATTCTCAGTTCTGATAAGGCATTCCATTTTCCTTCCTGTCTCTGTGTTATCTCTAACTCTAACTCTGTTTCTGCCAAGTGTCTCTGCATGTTGTCCAACGTGCTCGTAAATGATCAGGCTGTCAGTTTATTGCAGGGGACTGTATTCTAAAGCACTGGTGGCTGAAATCAAGAAGGTCCACACTTCCAGGTGGGGTAGGAGAGTGTGGCAGGCCC